AATCTCTCACAATATGCCAAAGTCGGCCCCATAAACGGCTCCTTATCAGGAACTTGGTCATGACAAGAAGCAAAAGCATCTACAGAAAGTTCCAGCTATTCTTGCCCCCAGGGATTTGAGTCTTCCTAGATCAAGAGACAGTCCTAAAAACTGAAATGAGAACAGCTACAGGATCCCCTGTCTCAGTCATCCAACTATTTACCTGACAACCAGTCTAGGGTATCCACTTCTGATCGAAGAATAAATGTTGATCAAAGTCAGTATTACTGTTTTAGACCACCAAGTTAGAAGTTGGCTTCCTAGATGACATTAGATAACAACTACAATGTTGTCCACACTATCCATATGAACATCTTTGTATTTAATTTGCATCTCAGGACTTAATCTGCAATTACCTTTCCCTTCACCCAGTCCCATAATGCATTGCTGGGAGCCACAACTGCACAGGTAGACCCAGCAAGATGAGAGTGTAGGGTGCATGGTGGGTCCAGGGGGGATCTTTCAGACTTTCTGGTGGAGAAACCAGCCTGGATCCCCACAGAGTCACTTCCCTTCTTCCTTATCCTTGCTCTCCTGTTAGGGATAACTTCCTCAGGAATCTGACATGCTGGATTCCGCATCTTGACTCTCGGCCCCTTGATGTCCTGGCAGTCTTTTGGAATGCTCACGGGTATTTGAACAGATATCAGAAAAGAAACATCCAAGGTGGCTATTGTGATCTGAAGTTTAGCATCCTTCCTCTCGTTCTGTAGTTCAGATGTGCGGCTGAAACAACAATTGGGCACAAAGACAAAAGCAGGTGGACTCTACCCTCAAGTGCCGGGCTATGTCATTAGTGGCCTGGCGATTTCCCTGCAGGATGCCAGTGAGCTGACACCATCAGAATGAAAACACCCAGCACCTCCTTTGAAGGTGGTGCTTTTTTTCCCCTGAAGCTCAAAATCAGAAACAAACATGAATATCATACTAAAATACAATATTGGTTTCTTTTGAACTGACTTTAGGCTGATTTTTCTCAAACCATGATGTATATGCACATATTCTTTTTATATTAAGAATTAAATAGCCTATTTGGATAAACAAATTCTACTTATTTTCAAACCAACAGAAGACCCTGAGGGGAGATCCTGAAATCACAAGCATGGCTGAGTATATTTTTATTCCTTTTTTTTTTTTTACCTCAAAACTAATCTGCCATGAACATAGCACATTTCTCAGAACCCTACTTATCCTCTGTTAATTTTCCAGTTTCCCCCCATACTCTCTCATGCCTTCTCATTTTCCACCTGGATTTCAGAGTCACGTGGCTGCAAATCGTATCTACATGGATGTTTATCCTTTTGATTCTTTGTTGAGCTTCAGGACATATTCAAGTTAAGAGAGACGACTTACAATATGAATCTCAGAATATAGTGGGTAGCTAGTGGAGGATATGGTAGACAGGCATCTATCTACCAAGCAAACTGGAAAATGGCTTGGTGGAAGAGAAAGATGGTAAGGAATATGAGCAAATTTTACCTCAGCGCAGACATAGCTTTCAAGCTGAAGAAGTTGTATCCTTGGTAACAATAATAATAATTTTTTATATATTATACTAATAAGATCAATATAGAATATTTATTGAATTTATTATTGTATATTCATTATATTTTATTCATGTATTGTATATATTTCCCATCTTCTACAGGGTAAGCACCTCAGCACTTCTTTTTCCACTCCAGTGACAATCAGAAATCACTCTATGCATTTGCTTTCCAACCTCGTATTTGCTGTGAACAAAATTGGAGTTGGCAAAAGATGACTAGTGTGAATTATCTGAACCACAGTTTCTCATTGTGTTGCATTACATTGAGGCAGCTTGATATGAAATCTTGCCACAGCCCAGTGACAGTGACAGTGGAAGATTGTCACTGTGTGTGTGTACGCGCGTGTGTGTCTATACATGTAAGCTATTTCTCCTCTATGGTGGGAGAGACAAGCTCTACCAATCCTGACCACACCGTATTTGCCTATCACAAATTAATATTTTAGGACTTCCTTTGAGGTCAATTTGTCTTCTCATGTCAGGAAATAGTCTTCTGGATTTCCTGGGTCAGACTTCAAAATTATGTAGCTCTCCAGTGTCCAGAACACTGCCAGTAGTCAACCAAATAAGACTCTGAGAGTCAAGGTCTTACCAGCAATGTTTTCTTCTAACTACGAAGAGCTACCTTGCCCAGAAAAGTGATTGACAATCCAAACTAAATGCAAGGTCTTGGTGGGCAGCCACTACCGACCCATCCCTAAACTCATTACTCAATGCTAGGGGGGTAGGTAGACCAAAAAGACCCCAGCTGGACACTGGAATGTTTCTGATTTCTCTGTGACAATATTAAGGCCGTCTTGTCGAGGAGGTCTCTGTGGGCTTTAGACTCAGCTTGTCTTGCTCTTCAAGTCCTGGTGGACTATTTCTAAAGCTGGTAAGCGGGAGTAACACTGGCGTCAGGAGAGCTCAGCCCCCTAGTCTGCTTCTTCCTCTCTCATTTCTCTTCATTTTGGGTATCGCTATCAGTTCCTGCTGGAGCATGAAGGTTCACTCCCTGCCAACTGCTCTGAAGACCACAGGGCCACTTGTTGCTCTTTCTTTGTAGTAAGGGGCTCAGTAGATCCCAATCTCCGTGGATGTGGGATGGAGAAGGGGGCAGCCATCACAACTTGATAAGCTTTTGGGAGCTGTGCAGACCCAATGGTGGTTAGTTTGCTGCCTCTGCTTTTGTGTATCGGGGATGGCAAAATGGAAGCACTTGGTGATCGCAAGCCGACCCCATCACCCACCCCCTCAACCCACCGCCGCCAGTTGCCGCTCATCAAGGAACTTCCTGAGTGAGGAAGGATTCTGTAAGGCCAGAGTGCCACGAAGCAACAAGGGCAAGAAGCTGAACATACTGAAGAAAGCTAGCATTGTGTGACCAGAGGTGGTAGAAGGAGGACAACCAGGCGGTAAGGATTTCAATCATGGCATAATAGGTTCAGACAGGAGCCCAGGGACGATCAAACTATTGAATTAGTGGCCCCGAAGGAATTGAAATTTCCCTACCAATCTCATGGGGGGATGACAAGGTGCCAGTCACAGGAGGAACTTGTCTACCAGGAAGATAGTCCACATGGTTATGACAACTTGTCAGACTCCCTCGCAGGAGACAGAAACAAAGACGATGATGGGTTAATGATGGGCAGGACTATACCTTGGCCAGGACCACTTGGTGATGTGTACCTTTTCATACCCTAAAGCTAAAGTGTATGCAGAACACTGGACAGATCCAGTTGTAACTCTCCCCGATGTATCCACATTGAATGAGTCTCCCTTCTCTGCTTTTGACTGTTACTTGCCCCTTTAATTGGCGTAGTGAGGACAGGTGGCTGAGCCTGCCCTCTTAGGTCTGCCAGAGCCCCAGCTTTTTTGACCCTAACAACTCTGGATGCAATACCACTGGTGGAGAACAGGGCAGCCAGTGATGCCAGGGAGCAATTTGGGCAGAAGGTACCCAGACAAGGGGAAGCACTTTGAAAACCACACCAAGACTAGGTGAGGTCATGTCTGGAAGACAGGCGGATGAAGCAATTTATATTTAAATGGTAAAGCAAACACCACACCCCCACTGTGCCATGGTCTATTCTTACTCAGTTTCTCTGGAAGAACATAGAAATTATGGCGGCGCTAATTGCTGTGTACTTTTGAATGAGAACCTTGGCATTGGGATATAGACTCCAGGGAGAAGTGAGTCCCTTTATGGAAAAGATTAGTAGGACAAAGTTTTCCAAATGTATTTGGCCTTTCAGTTGCTAAAGTGGACAATGCTAGATATTTCCTGTTCCTGACCACTTTCCCCTCTGCTTCCAAACGCTGTTGCTGGAACCCGTGGATCCTATCAGAAGTGTCTTTTGGACCAAAGTCCTAGGGAACGCTGTGGGTAAGGTCTAATGACAACTGGGCTCTGCTGCCTGTAGACCTTCAGGTCAGGGCCAGGGAGGGCCATATAGTCAGGAGATGGGTGGGGACAGGACAGGCTTGTGGCTCACTGCTTCCTGAATTCCGCCCTCAAGCAGCTGGAGCACTAAACAAGGCCCTCTGCTGGGGTCCTTGTGACCTGCAGTCAGCTGTACTCCGTGGCTTAGGGGAGATCATCAGTCAGTGAGACTCCCTTAAGATCTAACTTCCCTTATCGGCGCTTCTGTTTCTCTCCCATTTTCAGGGAGTGGGCTATTTAGACACGGTCAATAGCCACCACCGAGTGCAGGAGCTAAGGCAAGCCGACGGAAGAAGCCCCTGGCAGCTTCGACCTCTGGCATTTTCCGGAGCCCCGGAGTGCAATAACTGTGCCCAGAAATCCCGGAACCAAGCCAAATACAACACCAGTACCCGGGATTCTCTCTTTATGGAGGCAGCTTCTCCTCTCCCGCCTTAGCATTCCGGTACCTAGCATTAGGTACTGGCACTAGAAGTAGGGTTCCTGGGCACCCCCACTTCTGCGTCCCATTGCTAACCACCTTACCGACCACCCAGTTTACTTCCTGGAGCCCGGGGCCGCACAGTGCCTCCTAGTGGCCGGATGCACCTTCCCGGCTCAGCTTTCCACCCTACCAGGACTCCCCGATTCTGCAATTTCTCGGGGGCAGCTAGACCCCTGACCATGACCATCAGTCAACCCTCAGCGTCCCAAACAGGTCCCCTCGTTCCTCCCAGGGGCGAACCCGGAGCCAGTAGCAGCGCAGCCCTCGGCTCAAGGCGACGACCAGGCCGTGGCCCGGGTTTGGGGAGCTAGGGGTGAAGGCAGGCGAGGCCGGCGGGCCAGGGGGAGACGGTGAAGGCAACGGCGGGCGTCTGAGGGAGGCGAAGCGGCGGCAGCGGCGGGCGGCGCGAGGAGTCCCTGTGATTGGCACAGCCCGAGCTGGAGGAGGCGGCGAGGGGAGGGCGGAGGAGGAGGAGGAGAAGGAGGAGGAGAAAGGGGGCGAGCGCGGCGGCGGCGGCGGCGAGGAGCAGAGCCTTCAACCTCTCCAGCCGCGGTAGGACGGGGGCGGCCGCCGCGGGTCCGGGGCGGGGACAGCACGCAGCCTCGCGGCGCGCACCCCCGCCCGGCAACGGCCACGACACCCGGGGCGAGCGGGAAAGCGGCGGCGGCGGCAGCGGCGGAGGGGGAAGGATGCAAGGGAAGAAGCCGGGAGGCTCGTCGGGCGGCGGCCGGAGCGGCGAGCTGCAGGGGGACGAGGCGCAGAGAAACAAGAAGAAAAAAAAGAAGGTGTCTTGCTTCTCCAACATCAAGATCTTCCTGGTATCTGAGTGCGCCTTGATGTTGGCGCAGGGAACGGTGGGCGCCTACCTGGTGAGTCCGGGTGCCAACTCTGCTACGGACCCCCTTCCCTGCCGGCGCTTCTCCGGCTTGCCGACTGGCACCGGGAGGGGGCTCGCCGGAGCCGGGGGCAGGCGGGCATGACCTCGGCCGGGCGCGGAGGTTGGCGACTGGTGCAGAGGCGGCCGCCGGGGGAGCTGCCGGCCCCGAGCCCGGAGCGGGCGGGACCGTGGATGCCGGCAGCAGCTCGTGCGCCTGGCAGGGGCTGGGGGCCGGGGCGGAGGGGTGCCCGAGAGGAGACGCCGCGGGCAGGTGGGCATGAAACTGTTTCTTCTCCCGTCTTGAAAACGGAGCCAGATGGCGAGTTCAGGGAACCTCTTCGGAGACTAGAAAGGCATCGCGGTTCAGGTGACCTGCACATGGGAGGAAAAGCCAGTTAGCATCCTGCGTCCTCTACTCTCCGTTTCATCCGCCGGGAGAACGAATCATTATGCATCATTTTTCCCCAGGCTCTTTCTCCATCCACCAATTGCCGGGGAAATTTAACAGCTTAGAGTAAAAGACGCCGGAGTGTGGCCCTGATCTGAGTGGTTGCTGCGGGGGCGACTAGTTAGTCCCACCCAGATCCCAATAGCCATCTTTCAATGTGGGGATAAAGTTACAGTACCTGGAGAGCAGCTGTGAGTTTGTGTAGTTCTAGCTTGATTCCCTGCCATGGTCGCTCTCGGCCACACGGGCAGTGGATCTCTGCATACAATATGTATCTATTTTATTTGCCTCTAGGAAGGGATTATTGATGCTCAAAAGGCCCATGGACGCCTACTAGACCCAAAGAATCCGCTTGTAATGACTCAGCACTGTCAAGTTCCTACTTTGTTGCTTTCTCCCGCAGTGCTCAGGTGGTCCGCACTTGAGGAGCAGACAGTGTGCTTCCAGACCGCTCCTGTCTTAAACAGGAAAAGATGTCTCGGAGTGGAGAGTGTTAAATCTTTACGTGGCTATTGACCTGAAACTGGAATCAGATGTCATAGATTTGAAGTGTTAGTAAGCACGGTTATTGGAGATGGCATCGGACAAGATTTCGAAAGCTGTTGGAGAACCACATCCAGTGATAGAGCCATGTGTATCCTGATGTTATCATGAAGCCCTCATTCCTGGCCCTGGGTTAAAGTTAAGGAGGGCCAGACGCTGAATACCCAGTACCACGAACAATTTCCCAAGGCTCCTACAGGCTAAGGTGAAGTGGAGCAGTGCTTGGTGAAAGTTAGTTATGTGGTGACTGGGGATGGGGGTATGGGACCTCTCGGGCTTCAGTCCTGTTCCTGGGGAGACAATCAAATGCATTTCTGTTGCTACTCCCTAGATAAACAACTTTTAAACCTCCATCCCTGTCTTGTGCATGTATGTTGTCACTGAACCCTGGGGCCAAAAGTGTTCCTTTTTTTTTTAAGTCATTTTGTCTATGGTTCGAATACTATGCTGCAAACTTGGGAATTTGCTTGATGAGAATGAAGGCGTTTGGAGGGCAGCTTCTTTAGGGGTGATTTGACTGGTAAAATACTTAGAAAGGTGCGTGCGTTATTAGAGGCAAGCGTGCATTGTTACTGATAGCTGTGAGTCTGTAGCATATGCAAACTATGTTCTGTCCAACTAGGTCTTCATGTAAACGAAGGCAATGAGTCTGTCAGCAGCTGGCTCTTGTTTAACAGTTCCTTCGCCTCAAACCAGTTTTGCTTTAAGAGTACGGTCCTCACATGTGGCAAACAGCAGGGTTGTACTTCTCTTCCCAGGAATGATGAATGCCTGAGCTTAGGAGTTTTCGCGTGCAGTGACTTAAGGGTTTTAGAAGGAAGAGAAGCTGAGCCTCAAGCAGATGGGCAGCCTTGTTCTTTTTGGAAAGTTAAAGAGCTAGTGCTTCTAGCAGGGGAACGTCCCCAAGCAGAGCTGGCCCTGGGAGGTGAGGGGTTACCATGAATCTCAGGATGAGGAAAAGGCAGGAGGCAATCAGTCCACCTGCGCATGGCATCTGGACACTCCTGTCCCTGATGGAAAGTCCTGTGGTGGGGGGGAGGAGTGTAAAGGGTAACGAACCAACAGGTGCCTTGCATAAAACAAGATGGAGGCCCAGGAGAGGACGGGCCTAGGAAATTGAATTAATTTTGATCAGTAGCAGGGCAAGCATAAGGTTCTCAGGGCCTTACTCTGCCCCACTGCCCTTGATGTCCTTGTAATATATGCACCTCATCTGAAGACTAGGTAGCTTGCAGGGACCGACCCAGTCAGCCTGCTACTAGGCTTCAATCTCCTGGGTCACCTAAGAGGTTTCTCTTCCTCTGTCGTTTTGGACAGGTTGGGAAAGTTGTGGTTTTCTTTCAACCACAGAAGCTCTCTCTCTCTCCCTGGATATTTTGGGAAATCACTTATTACAGGAGGGTCGAGGGGACGGCAGATTTTCTTACTTTTAAAATGTCCTGCGTCTTTCGCAGGAAGCCTGAGACCCTGTGTCTGTAGATGAACACAGGTGATCCATGTGCAAGGGGTGTGTGTAGATGTGGTCTTTTCAGGGGGAACAGCATGCTCTACTGAGAAAGTATTTTCAGGTACAATGCCGGCCCTGCTTCCTTATCCATGAGGAGAATGACTGCAAGCTGGAGGAGGTCAGTGACATCCTTTCCTGTTGGATTTTCTAAAGTCCACGCAGCTACCTTGTCTTTTTTTTTCATCTCCTTGGGTGCCTTTTTGTGTTTAAGTATTAGGAAGGGCCATTTCCTTTTTCTCTTACATCCTGAAAAGACAGATTTCTCATTGTCCTTAGTGTGTCCTCAGCGACATTGGTGTAGGTGTAGGTTTCCCAACGGCAGAAGTGAGGCAGGAAGTGGCCTGCGATTTGAGAAGCTGCTCTGAAAAGTAGGACTCCTGTGTGCCTGTCCTGGGGTTGGGGGTGGGGTGTTAGGGAGGGATAAGAAAGAGAGGGAGAGGAAAGGGATGGAGAGAGAACAAGAGGGAGAGGGGGGAGAAAAGGAGAGGAGGAGAAAAGAAGAGGAGGAGATGGAGAAAAGGAAGAGAGATTGAGAGATTGAGATTTTGTTTGATTGGCTTCTCTTAAGAATCTCCCTGTCCAGGACACTCAAAGAATTGTATATAACAAGCCATGCTACTCTGGGAACCTGCAACTTTTTGCTTGGGTCTTGGAGCCTTCCAGGAAGTGAAGAAAGACTGGGATTGTGACATCCTTGGTAGATTTTTTCAGGACAATAGAGAAAAGATAATCCAGGTGCCACCCAGCTTAGCCAGGGACTCTGAAATCAATACTTAGAATATTGTTGTACTGCAGCTGTTTGCTTTGTTGGCTATGATATATATATATATATATATATATATATGATATGAGATATATCATCTATCTATCTATCTATCTATCTATCTATCTATCCATCCTGTCTAAGAAGAGGCCCACTGAGTTTAATGGTCATTGTGCCTTAACTATTTGTCCAAGACAGGGCCATGTGTATTTCTGGTACCTGAGTGTTTGCTTCCAGTGGCTCCCATCTATATTGCCCTGTTTGCAGGGATATAACTGCTGTGGAAGGTTTGGGCTATTGAAAGGCCACCCAGGCATGTGGAAACCGACTGGAGAGAAAGCCATTTATATAGATATATCTGTGCATTGTGGAGGCTTACTGAGATGTGGGGAGCCAGGTAACCCTGCAGAAACGTGTGTGTGTGTGTGTGTGTGTGTGTGTGTGTTGTGGCATTGCTGAGGACTTGAGGAGATAAGGATGCAGACAGGAAATTAAAACTTCTGACACCTTAGGTGATTGCAAATGAAGCTCATGACAGATGCTCTTGAATTGCTTTAGGATGCACATGGAATAAAGGCCAGTGGGAGTCTCTTGAATTGGGTCTTCAGGGACTCCGTGAAGCTGAGGCGGGCCTTTTCCTGTTTAGAGTTATGCAGAAGTGTGTCTGGGGGTGTGGTTACAGGGTAGTGACATAGATGACCCAGTGTGGCTAATGAGGCGTTGTCTCTCTGCTTTATAATCACTTATTTTTAGGCCAGAGAACGTTCAGCAGGTTTATAATCAGCTGCCATGGTTGATATTTTCCTTTTTTCTCTGAAGAAGCATTTTTTTGAAGATAGGTTCTTGCATAGCTAGTCTAGAAGCTGACGGCTAAAAAAACGTTTTTAAAGTCCTTGTCAAATTAGTAGGATGACTAAGGTAACTGTATTTTACTTAATCGAATTATTTTATACACTTGTGCTTACTCATAATGACAAATTCCATGCTATTTGCATACTTACTAAATAGCCTCAAGTAATAAAAATTTCTCTATTTTTTTCCTTATAGCTTTGTTTAAAATGTTTTACTAACTCTCTTAAGAAAAAAGTATATTTCTGAAAATTCTCTTCAACCATGTTTGTGTCTTTACATACCTTTGCTTCTTTGGGGTGTATCTGAGGAGGGGTGCATGTGCTTTAACAATAGAGGAATCTAACTGGATTTCTTGTACAGTGAGCAAGGTTTCTTTCCTGGGTTTTGTTAACCCCGCCCCTGCCCCCATTCAGTTGTCATACCTTCTACAGAGGGTCCAGAGTTCAGGCTGTGTGATGCTGCTTTGCCGAGCAGGTGGGTACTCTGACATTCTGGCTCCGCCTGCCAGCAGCTGGGAGGGCATCTTTCTGAGGCAGGCTGCAGGAGGTTCCTTCTGTATGGTCCATGGACCACTGGGCAGGTAGAGTTCCTGCAGGAAGCTCTTTGGATTTGTTTTGCAGATCTGATGGCAGACTTGGGGGCTCTATTTTGATCAGGGTCTTGCTCCCCTAGCAGCGCGGCCAGGGTATGGGTCAGTGTACTGCTGCCAGAACAATGTAGACAGAGTCTCATTTGATGCGCCACCTCTCTCTAGAGCGACTCCCAGCCTCCACATCCGTTTAAAGGGCACACGTTTCACAGGCTATGTCAGTTGACAAGCACACACCTATAAAAAAGAGCCATGACATTGACCTTCTCTTTGCGCCTACTTTTCATAAGTACTCGTGTCCTGTGCATGGTTGCACGCTCTGAATTATTTACATACAAATCTGGATAATTCTGAATGACATATACTTCCTTTTTTTGGGAAAATATTGCAATCAGGTTTTGTAGGGTTTTTTTTTTTTTCCTGTGGTATTGGGAATTGAACCCAGGACTTGCACATGATAGGCAAGTACTCTATCACTGAGCTACACTCCCAATTCCTTAATGGTAAACTCGATTGAGTGTCTTCATATGGGTTTAGACTCTAGGCTCTCTCAAGATGACTTTGGCTCTCTTTGATTGCCTCTTTGGAAATGCTGGGGGTAGCTTGTGCCCCAGAAAGATATTTTTGCTTC